AGTGGTGCAGTTACAGCTCACTGCAGCCTTAACCTCCCAAGTTCAAGCCATCCTCTCACCTCACCCTCCTGAGTAGCTAGGAGTACAGTCTACAGGCACATGCCCCCTCACCTGGCTAATTTTTGTATTTTTTGTAGCGGTCTCTCTATGTTGCCCAAGCTGGTCTCAAACCCTGGGCTCAAGCAACCCTCCTTGGCCTCCCAAAGTGCTGGGATTACAGGCATGAGCTACCACGCCCAGTCATAATTTTTTTATTTTTACCTTTATGTTTATCCCTCTTCATACATACACAGAAATGTGCAAATGTAAGCTTTTTGAGAGATGGGACATCTTTGTCTTGTTCATGGCTATAATTAGTACCTGGAAGTACCTGGAATATAGTAAGTGATCAATCAATATTTATTAAAAAGATACAGTCATGAGAAAATGCTGTATAAGAATGTTTATAGCAGCTTTATTTATAATAGCCAAAAAACTGAAAACAACCCAGGTTTCTATCAAAACAAGAATGGAATTGGTATAGTCATGATGGAATACTACCAAGAAATCAGAAGAAACTGATACACGTAACAGACAAATCTTTAAAATATTACTTTGAATGAAAGAAGCCTTACACAAAAACATCTATTGCATGACTACAACCAAATGAAGTTCTAGAATGGGAAAAATAAGTATGGTGGAGAAAAAAATCAGAACAGTGGTTACCTTTTGGGAGAACTGGGTGGGGACTGAGTAAAGGCATGAAAGAACTTTCTGGGGTGATGGTAATGTTCTATACGTTAATATGGTTTGAGTTCCATAGGTATATGCATTTGTTAAAAACTCACGTATATTTAAGGTATGCATTTCATTTTTACCTTAAAAATACCTAATTTGAAAAATAAATAAATAAAAAATACCTAATTCGAACTCCAGTGCTGTGCATTAGAGGTATTTAGAAGTGTATTGTCTGCAGCTTACTTTGAAATGTATGAAAACAGATGGATTGAACAGGCGCAGTGGCTCACGCCTAGCACTTTGGAGGCTGAAGCGGGCGAATCATGAGGTCAAGAGATCGAGACCAACCTGGCCAACATGGTGAAACCCCCGTCTCTACTAAAAATACAAAAATTAGCTGGGCGTGGTGGCGCATGCCTGCAGTCCCAGCTACTCCGGAGGCTGAGGCAGGAGAATCGCTTGAACCTGGGAGGAGGAGGTTTCAGTGAGCCAATATCGCGCCACTGCACTCCAGCCTGCGCGACAGAGAGAGACTCCGTCTCAAAAAAAAAAAAAAAAAAAGAAGAAGAAGAAGAAGAAAACTGCAACTGAACAGGAACAAAGCATTCCCTCCGTCCTTTTCCAGCTCCGGAGACACACTGGCGGAAACGGCGCCAGACAGACCAGCTCCAGCTTCCGGCCCGCGGTCTTGCACGCGCATGCGCCAGCCGAGGGCGCGCCCTCTTTTTTCCGGTGGGTCGTCGACTGAGGCGGTTTGTAAGTTTTGGGTTGCAGTATGCTAGAATTTTGAGGCTCCCTCCTGATAAAAATTGAGTTGTCTGTACAGCCAAGGAACTGGGGGACAGGAGTGAAGGGGCCACGGCTCAAGGTGAGTCTCGCCCCAGCTAGCGCCAGTGGTGAGTGCCACAGGGCTTTCCCACGCTGCAGCGCCGGGTGCAACTCTTTCCGAACGTGTCTAACAGGGTGCGCATGCGCCCATCGGTGGGCTCGGCTTTTGGCATTGGCTCCCCGCTGCAACAGGGGACCTCGCCCAAGGCACGATCAGATGCGGGGGCGGCTGCGTGCTGGGCTTTCTTCCTGAGAGCGTCGCGGCTTGGGTTGTGGAGCACCGTATTCTGTTCTTCAGAACAAATCTGCAAGGAAAAGAAATTATCCCACGCAAAAATCTCAAGTTTCAGTCTACGTTCTCTTAAATATATTTTATTTATTTATTTATTTATTTATTATTTTATTTTTTTTGAGACGAAGTTTCGCTCTTGTGACCCAGACTGGAGTGCAGTGACGCGATCTCGGCTCACCGCAATCTCCACCTCCTGGGTTCAAGCAATTCTCCTGCCTCAGCCTCCAGAGTAACTGGGACTACAGGTGCGTGCTACCACGCCCAGCTATTTTTTTTGTATTTTTAGTAGAGACGGGGTTTCACCATGTTGACCAGGATGGTCTCGATCTCTTGACCTCGTGATCCGCCCGCCTCGGCCTCCCAAAGTGCTGGGATTACAGGCGTAAGCCACCGCTCCTGGCCTTGAATATATTTTATTAAAAAAAAAATAGTAGAGGCGAAGTCTCCCTGTGTTACCCAGGCTGGTCTTGAACTCATGAGCTAAAACGATCCCTCTTCTTCTGCCTCCCAAAATGCTAGGATTACAGGTGTGAGCCACTGCGTCCGGCCACAGTCTGTTTTCTGAAAGCATTCGCTGAAATCTTAAGTCATAAAATTATCTTGAGGGTTTTCTGGAAGGACTGAAATCTCTTCAGCGAAAATAATTTGGCAGATAAATGACTTGTGACATTACTCCCCTACTTGTCCGTTCAAGTGTCCCTCCGTCCCGTACTACTTTGCTAATTCCGTCTTCGATATCCCAAATTCAATAGGACCCTCTCCCAACTTTACTTACCCCCGGGAGACTTTTAAACAAATACATAGCTCTAAATAAGTGTTGACTCCCAAAATTATATCTCCAGCTGAGTCTCATAGACTCGAAAATTGTATATCTATCTGCCTGCTAGACATCTCTATTTAACAGGTGTCTTAGTAGGCACTTCATTACTTGCGTCTAAAACCAAGCTTCAGATCCCCATGAGTATGACCGTCTAAATAAATTGCAGATCCATACTTCCAGTAGCTTAAAGCCTTGGAGTCATTCGTAATGTCTCATATAATTCATCAGTAAATCCTGTTGCCTTTGCTCTTTCAATATATCCAGAAGCTGAAGCTTACTGTCTTGACCACTATAATCCTATCCAAGCCACCATCCTCTCTCCCTAGTTATTGCAGTGTCTATCTTGTCACCCCACTTTTCCCTTCACTGTTCTCCATAGCAGCAAGTGTGTTTAAGTGAGACCTCTCAAGTGGCTCTTAGGTGTCAGTCAGGATAAAATTCAGAATTCTGGCCATGCTGTAGTAGTCTCAACATAAACTGCTCCTACATTTCCTTACTAAATTCTTCTATCCCCTGTCCCCAGCTCACTCTGCCCTGGCCAGCTGCTCTAGCACTCTCTTGCCTCAAGGCCTTTGAACATGCTCTTCCCTTTCCCTCCAACACTCTTGGCCAAGAAAAACACAGGGCCTCCTTTTTCAGTTCCTTAAAGTCTTCACTACAGTCACCTTAGGAGAAAGGTCTTTCCTGACAACCCCATGTGCAGTCTCACCTTCTGCTGCCCCATTGTTTCCCTTTCACTTGTTTTCTTCCTCAGACTTTTCCATAACAGTTATTCACTGAGCATATAAATTCTTTTTTTTTTTTTTTAGACAATCTCAGTCTGTTGCTCAGACTGGAGTGCAGTTGGTGCAATCTTAGCTCACTGCAGCCTCCACCTCCCCAGTTCAAGTGAGTCTCCTGCCTCAGCCTCCCGAGTAGCTGGGACTACAGGCGTGCGTCACCACACTTGGCTAATTTTTGTATTTTCAGCAGAGACAGCGTTTCACAATGTTGGCCAGGCTGGTCTCAAACTCCTGACCTCAGGTGATCTGCCCACCTCATCCTCCCAAAGTGCTGGGATTACAGGCATGAGCCACAGCACCTGGACTGGGCATATAAATTATGCTTTTTTGATGTCACGGTATCCTCCCACAGGTAGAGCTGTTTTGTTACTTTCATTCATTGTTACCTTAGTGCCAATGCTTGAACATAAGAAGTGCTTGAGAAACATTTGTTGAGATGATGATCGATAATAATAATAGTAACAAGCGGCCCAACACAGTGGCTCATGCCTGTAATCCAAGCACTTTGGGAGGCTGAGGTAAGTGGATCACCTGAGGTCAGGAGTTCGAGACTAGCCTGGCCAATATGGTGAAACCCTGTCTCTACTAAAAATACAAAAATTAGCCTGGCGTGGTGGCGCACACCTGTAATCCCAGCTACTCAGGAGGCTGAGGTGGGAGAATCAGTTGAACCCAGGAAGTGGAGATTGTAGTGAGCCGAGATCATGCCACTGCATTCTGGTTAGACCCTGCCTCAAAAAAAAAATTTTTTTTTTAATTAATAATTATAATAGTAGCAAGCACTCATTTAAAATTTACTCTAGTAAATAGTAGCAAGCACACATATAAAAAGCACTTTATTGCCAGGCACTTTCCACAGATTCTCTTCTAATCCTCACAGCAACCCTGTCATCCCAGTTATGGAACTGGGGAGATTACAGCACAGATGAATTAAGCCACTTGCCTAGGGTCACGCAGTTCATAAGTGGCAGAGCCAGGAGTTACACCGTGGCAACCTGGTAATAGAATCCAAACACTGGTAACAGAGCCACTCCAATAAAAAACAAAGTAGGCCGGGCGCGGTGGCTCAAGCCTGTAATCCCAGCACTTTGGGAGGCCGAGGCGGGTGGATCACGAGGTCAAGAGATCGAGACCATCCTGGTCAA